TTAACTTCTTTCCTGTAAAACTTTTATGCTCAAAGCATTCACACGTAACCTTAGACCAGTGGTTTTCAACCTTTGTTGCTGGAGAGGAACCACAAGGAAACATTCCAGTGGCTCGAGGAACCCCTGCAATAAATTAATTATATTAATCCTAGTACTTGTGTAACTTCTTGCGGAAGCCCTGGGCTTTACTGGCGGAACGCTAGGGTTCCGCGGAACCCTGGTTGAAAACCACTGGCTTAGACACATTAGAAGGAGCATTGTCATACATAAATTCACACTTCATTTAGAAAAAAAAGAGGCTTGGACTCGTACCATTCAAAAAGTCTTGTTCATGAACTCGAAATAGCACTGTTGTTTAACTCCTTCATCAACTCTGAATGATTCAATAATTGTTTGGTCGACAATTTCGGCCCATATCATCACTCAGTCGCCTCCTTTCTGTCTTCTTTCAGGCTGTTGTGTTACGATCCACCTAATTTACATAGTGGAGTACCGACCATATAAATATGGGTTGGTACCGGGAAGACGAGGAGGGAAGTAACAAGAGATCCAATCCAGAGACTCTGCCCGACTGCGATTAAGTCAACCCATTCTACAGGAACAGTCTTCCCAAGAATATACCAAAACTAACTAAATATTGTGCACCTTTTCCTTGTTTCAATACATTTTGTTTACGTACATTTTGTGTTGTATTATTATTATTCCATGCTTATCCAAGCTTCAACACAGGCACAGGCACATCTGCATTTGATATAGTTTATAATTTACATCCATCAGGTCCATAGAGTGTCACCCTAGATTCGTCCGTGAAAATTAATTTAGAAAAGTCAATTTTCATGAATTTCTGGTTGTTTTCGCTATAAATCGTGTTAGTTTACAATCCCCCGAAGAAGAGACAAGTTCTTAAAGGCTTTTTTCCCTTTGTTTCTAATTCTCAACTTACATTTTCCAGTCATCTTTATCGCTGGATGATCTCTGTGAAGCTCCTTTGATGTGGACATCAACTCATTCAGTTACATTATTTTGTTTTTTTTCAGCATTTGTTTGATCCTTTCCATTATTCATGTATCAACATTGTGGAAAACTACTATATTTCAGAGGGGTTTAAACTAATATTGGTTTAATCGGCATAATAACTTCAGACTCTAGTTTTTGGAATAAAACCAATAACTTTAATAAAACATGTTGGAACTGCCTAAAATTTAAACTCAAACTTTGTTTTGACGTCCAAATTAATTGTTTAAAATATGTGATTTGCGTATATACATATATATACATCTATATATATACATACATACATATATATATATATATATATATATATATATATATATATATATATATATATATATATATATATATATCAGGCTAAATGAAAAAAAAAGTAAAATGGTAAATATTCTGAATTTTAAATTAAAATAATCGGTCACTCATAGTAGTTTACCATCGCCTAAAGACACATTTGTAGCGTTGAAACATAACTGTAATTTTTACTAGCGAGTTTTAACGTTTGTTTTAATAATCTAAAATAAATTATATATATATATATATATATATATATATATATATATATATATATATATATATATATATATATATATATATATGGATACATACATACATATAAAATAAATCCATAAGAGTTCACCGACTCCTGAGTGTCGCCTCAAAATGCTCCTCAGGGTCAGGTGACATATATATCTATATCTCTCTCTCTCTCTCTCTCTATATATATATATATATATATATATATATATAGATAGATAGATTACTTTGTCCATCTCTCTCTCATTCACTCACTCCTCCTCTCTCCTCTCTCCCCATATATATATTTGACAAAAGTAGACAAGCATACTTGGATATGAACGGCAAGACACCATATATATATATATATATATATATATATATATATATATATATATATATATATATGATTAATATATATATATGATTAATATATATATATATATATAATAAAAAATATATATTATTATTATATTATTATTATTATTATTATTATGTTATTATTATTATTAATCCTTTTACTTGACTAGTCCGAGAATTTTTCAATATCCACTTATTTTACCCTCCGACCCAATAATGATTCTATTGGAACTAGAGCTTCTTTTCACCATCATTTTCCCGTAATTTGTGATTAATTTCTCGTTAATAAAATAACTTCGGGAAAAAAAAGCTGAATTTGAAAATATCTCGTCCAGTATTTTCTCCATTTTAACCACATAACATGGATTGACACACGCAGTTCCATTTTTTTCTGATGAATAATTCAAGGATGAAAAATCTGATATGTTTCGTGATCAGTATTCTGAGTCAGTCGTCCGATTTTAACCCATCAGCCAGAAAACGTTACGCATCGGTGATTTAATGTATTTTTCTGTTTCATCTGAATGGATGTCTTGCTTTTATACATTAGGCATCTACATGCAAAGGCTCTGATAGACTACTAATCCCATAAAACGATTCCCATCAGTATAAATGCTGCATGCCTTTGGTTTAATGTTCTCCATTACATCACGATGAATATAGAGAGTTTATGATTTCGCCGTCTAAAATCGAAGATATGAAGAATTTATAATCCGACATTATCAGTTAGATACGAACTGGTTCCTGACATGAAAATGTTACTGTAGTCTCGCTTATAAAGAGGATGAACAAGATTAACGAGGTGGGAGGGCTGGTAGTAATATGCTGGATGCAAATATCGTAGTTATGATAGAGGCAACCCATAAGACACCGGAAGTAAGAACGAGAATCTCGCTAGGCTGTTGAGCTAACGATTCGTTAAGGAAGCCATATTTAATTATTTACTTACTTTTAAAGGCTGGATTTTGGTTAAAACATATAAAATTTTTGTAAATCATAGAAAGAAAATACAGGTCTGGACTTATAGGTAAAAATGCATATTTTTAAAAAATAAAATATTCAACATTTTATTTAATTGGAATATTAACAAATAACATCTTCAATATGATTTCAATCATTTGTGACGCAAAGGCTGATAGGCTTTGCAAGATTCACATGAATTCGATGCAATAATTCCACTTTCCGTACCCTAAGTGAGTCGGGACTTTCTGGCCTAACTAATATAAGTTTTACGAGTAATAGGAAAATCGCGAAATAGGCATTTTATTCGATTAAAGAGAGTTTCCTTTTGAATTTCTGTGATGAGGAAATTATTTTATGAATGGTACCATTGAAACCAACAGATACGTAGATGACAGCTTCATACTCTGGCCTCAAATAGTAAAATACAACTGGGCCATGAGAACTCAATAAGACCTTCGATCCAGTTCACAATGGAAGAAGAAAACAATAACAAGCTAGCCTTCCTACATCTACTAATAACTCAGTCGAAATATTAGGTTAGTCAGAAAGTTCTGACAGACATATGAAGCAGAAAGAAAACTACAAAATTTTATGAAGCAACACCAACATTTATTCTTCAAAATAAAGTCCATTAGTCTCGACGATCGTCTGCCAGCGATCAACCGAATTTGTTCCAGATACCCGTCTGCTGGCTTCGGATAAAAAAAAAACTGTAAACAAGCTTCCTCTACTTTATCAAAAGTGTTGAATCGCTTGTCACGGAGGAAGTGTGCCATTGAGCGAAATAGGCCATAGTAACTGGGAGCAGCATCGGGAGTGAATGGTGAATGTGGAAGATTCTCAACACCGTCCATCTGTTTGAACCTCTCCTTAGTCAACCTGACTGTGTGTGGCCTCGCATTGTCTTGCTGAAACAAAGTCCTACCTCGATGAACCAAAGCAGGATACTCTTTTAGTTTGCCGTACATGCGGTCTGACTGCTGACTATACACTTTAGGGCTGATGGCGCGAAACAAGCTGGAAATGGAAATTCCTTGGAAATTCCACCAGATAGATCAATATTTTTTGTTTTCTTTCCGCCTCCTAAATGTCAGGACTTTCTGGCGAACCTAGTATCATAAATTGGGAAATTGCTTCACCAAAGAAAAAAAATATGTGGATATTATTCTCGTCTAGTGGTAGAATGTATAAAGTGCTGCACGATTCACTTTGGTCACGGATGAGAGATCTTGCTCTACAACGAGGAATGAAGAGAAAAGAAAAGTCAAATAAGTAATTAAGTTAAAGCCAGTGTGTCGAACAAGGAATAAACCATCTTTATCTCATTCCATCTAACCTCCTTATCGCGGAACAACCGCGGCGGCCTCGCAGTTTTCTTCAACGTGCGCGTGTGCCTACTCGGCGTGTAAACGAACTCTACGTCAGACGATCTCTAAACCTCTCCTCCGAAGCAACCCCACCCCACCCCACCCCACACCTCCAGGAAGAGAAGGTAATGGGAATTTCCGACTCTGTGGCGGTTCCTCTTTCACTGGCTTGAGATAATAATGAACCTTCCGCAGGTTCACCTACGCAAATCTTTTACTTTCTTTAAACAATCGGGTGCGTTATCAAACGATTTCGCATAATTCATTTATTATATCTTTATCAGTCCTCGTACATGATAGCGAATTCTGGACAATCTTCTCAAAGATGAAGAAGGGGCTTGAGTAACAGAAATATGGTTCTACAGAAGGATGCGGAGGATACTATGAACTGAACATATGAGCGACGACGAAGTTTTAGAGAAGATGTAAGTAAAAAGGACACTTATACTTAACATCAGAAAGAAAGAGTTGAAATTTCTAGAGCATATAATGAGGAAAGAAGGCTTGGAAAATTTGACACTCACAGGAGGAATTGAAAGCAAGTCGGCAGGAGAAAACAACACATAACCTAATTAGCAAACGAATTAAATGGATAGCATAACCATTGGACGAGATAACAAAAAGAAAATATTAAGAGCTACAAAGGACAGGAAATTCTGGCGAGCTATGATCGTCAATGTCCTGAATGGACACGGTGCATAGAAGAAGAAGAAACAATGTCGTCTTTTCCAAGCATTAGACTCAATTGTTCGGTGGACTTCTCCACGATTTATGGCCACATCACGTATCACGTTAAAACCCGGTTCTGTACGATTACCGAAGTTAAGAAACCTCGAGCCTGCTCAGTACTTAGATGGGTAACCGCTTGGGAAAATGAGGAGAGCCGATTTCCAATTGCCACTGGATTCGTTATATTCACCTTCGCGCAATTATCCTTATGTATTCTGTTCAGTGTCGTCATCGGCCAGATCTGTGGATCTCACCAGACAGCACGATCAATAGAAATGAGTCATGGATGATGGATATGAGCTTCCTCAAATCGCGCTATCAGAATCAAAAAAATATTGATTTGTTATCATTTAAGAAGGAGGTCTTCTGTTCATAGTATTTATACAGTGTCAAATCGATCGCTGGATTTTTGCACAATTATCTGGAGAAGTTGTTCTGAGTATGAAAATATACATTGTTTTACAATAAACATTATTACAAAGATATATTTTTAATCGGTATCATCCCATGCAAGGCAGTAAAACCACAAAAACACAAGGAGGTCACTGAGTGTGGAAGAGTTAGAAACAGAAACATTGTTAAGAAGCAAGAACAGAGTAAGTGTAATCAGGAGGACAGCAGATAGCGATCGATATTGCATTTAAATTTTTGCAGATTAAAGTTGTCAGAAAAGCATGGAGCCAGAAGGAACATCCACAAGCGAAAAGTGCGAGAAAAGAAACTGTTAGTATAGAATATATGGTGACATCTATGATGTGTTTTCCATTAGATTCGTTTTTGAGGAGATATACAGACGGATATATACATTTTTAATTAGAGAGCAAAAATTTACATAAATTAATAAAAGTATATATCTTATATTTTTGTTTTGTTTTGTTGAGGAGGCACGGTGGAGTAATGGATAGCGGCTCGGAGTGAGGAATCGGAGAGCAGAGTTCGAACTCCAGTCGAATCCATTACATACGTGCTAATACTCTTGGGAAAGGTATGAATCCTCTTCTTCTGCCCCAAGCTATGAGTAAATAGCAGGACAGACCTGGTATACCGAAAAAAGAAATGACAACCTACTACTGGAAAAATCTGCCTCGTCAGTCATGTATCGAAAGCTACATGATCGCCTGGCACATAATTGACTGATATATCAGTTTAGCAAGAGGATGCTTCATTACAATCTTAACGTGTTAAACCCTAGGGTTAACCGTTATCTGTTCTATATATCCTCACTAACTGTGCCTCTTACTATATAACCCTTTTCATTTTTTGGGTCTTCTACAAGGTGAATATTTTTGTGCATGTGCTTCCGAAAAAATCCCCCAAATGTTTTTAAAAAAATTCAGAAAACTAACTACAATATATATATATATATATATATATATATATATATATATATATATATATATATATATATGGTCATCCACAGACAAACTGTTTCGCAGTATCACAGCTCATCAGTGTGGCTAGACATCCGATCGCTCAGGCCGGGACCTAAACCCGACCGATTTGATATCAGTCGGAGATTCTAACTCCTAGGCCATCGGCGCACGACAGAGAGAAGGGCGATTTTTTGTGTATTTATTTTTCATAAACACACCAACCACTCAGAGAAATCAATCACTAGAAGAGCCTTGCATTATCAGCATTAATAGTGACTGTTTCACAAAATCGTTCTTTTCTCCCATTTTTTTCCTATATTTTACGAGTTGATTACTTCAGTAGAGCCGTCTCTTAAAATACGTTACATATTCAAAGACAATCGTGATACTTGACTAGTTAGTTTGTATTCAATCAATAACCGTATATCGCTTACATATCTTTTGGATATGTTATCTATATGTGTCATTCTTGCTAAGCTATATTGCTTAATACTTGCATGATAAGCCTATGACACTCTACTCCACATAAGATTAAGATGGGATTAACAACAACACAGTATTGTTTAATATACGAGGGTGAACTGGAAAGAAAAGGCTGATCATGAAGGAGTGGTGCTCGAGCTGTGACATCTTGTATGTATTAATTTCTAATTAACCCTTCTTCTTAATAACTGCATTGTTTCTTTCACGGTAAACTGGCACCGACTGTTGAAAGAAAACTGTTCATCTAATTGGTCAAAAAAATCAATTACGGATATGACGTCATCATCACTGTGATACTTTTTCCCAGCCAAGTGTTTTTTTTTTTTTCGGGAACAAATGATAGTCATATGGAGCGAAATCAGGAAGAATAGGGTGATCAACCAGTTCAAAGCCACAGTCATGCGCAGCAGCCATTTAATCCGAGGACTTGTCTGCAGGAGCATTGTCTTGATAAAACAAAACACCTTTCGCCAGTTTTCCTAGGCGTTTGGTATTGATAGTCTTTCGTAACTGGCCCAACAAGTTGGTATAGAACACTTCATTGATGGTGTGAATCTTGTAAAGATCGTCAATAAACACAATGCCTTTTGTATCCCGTATAAGTGACTCCATCACCTTCCGTACAGACGAAACGATCTTTGCCTTCTTTGGAGCAGATGAAGAGGGGTGTTTACACAGCATGGATTATCTCTTTGTCTTTGGCTCAAAGTGATGAAACAAAAACACATCCTGGATCTGTCCCAAACAAGGTCAGATTTTCCCGGGATGTAATCAAGTAGGTGCGTATATTTTTTACCATATATCAAATAGAAGACGTGGCACCGACTAAGCAGAAATCTTCATCATACCAAATTCATTTTGCAGAATATTCCCAATTTTTTCGCAGAATGTGCTAATAGCATTGGCTATTTCATTTATAATCAATGGACTCTCCTTTCCCCTTCTAAATCCAGCTGCCCACTTTTTCAATGTTGATAAAGATGGTATGTCATCCTCTAATGTAGCAACCATGTCAGTATGAATGTCCTTGAGGTCTAAACCCTTTTTTCAGGTACACGATAACACCATCAAGTTTTTCGAGAAGTCGCTACTAACTACTTTTGAAGTCTTCCTTGAACAATCAGATGTCATTTTATCTTGAAACAAACAATGCTGTTATTAAGAAGAGTCAAAATTATTGCATGCAATATTTCACAGCTCTAGCGTTACTCCTTCGTATTCAGCCTATGACATTTTCAGCCTCCCACCTCGTATTGCAGTAAGAAACTTCGCAAATTAATTGTTGTTTTTATTAGTGCACAGACGGTGCAAATCTGCCAGTTGGGGAATTCACCTGTACAACTAGATTCATATTCATTATCAACCCTTTGAAGGTTATTTAAAGGCGAAACTTATTTTGAATTGTAAGAATAATTGTTACATTTCTATTTTATTTCCTGAGCGCTAATATCCCTTCAAATGTTTCCAACATCGTCATAATTCCGTGCAAATGTACATGCTGAACTCGAATTAACAATTAAATTATAAAGAAACCTTAACCGTTTTGGAGTTATCCACAAGAAAAAAAATCGGACTTCTTGCTGGTCATTCATCCCCCATTACTGCCATCATGAACCCTCATTCGCTGCGGGATACTTGCGCTTGCCTTTGGCCTATTTACTTCTTTTACAGACTTTCTTTGCAGAAAATCACTACGCACTACCATAAATAAATGTAATTTTTTTTTTTTTTGGTAAGTTTAGCTTTATTTATAACAAAAACGAATTAAATAATTCAATAGAACCTTTTTTTCCGTTTTGAATAGCAATGACAAATTAAAAGAACAAATTAAATAATAAAAATAAAGCATATTTTATATTGTAAAATTGAAAATAAAACAAAAATTAATTTGTTCTTTTAATTTGTCATTGCTATTCGAAAAGGAAAAAGGGTTTTATTGTATTATTTAATTTGTTTTTGTTATAAATAAAACTAAATTACCAAAAAAAAAAAAAAATTATATTTCATTACGGTAGTGCGTAGTGACTATTTTGGAAAAATTTGAAGGGATATTAGCTCTCGGGAAACAAAATAGAAAATTACCGAATAATTCGTTTTTCTTTTGCGAGTGAATATCTCATTAACAATATTTTGAGAATAACAACTTTTTTTTTTCAGATACAAGTCCTACTATTTAATCCATAGCTCGGGAGAGAAAATGGATTCATACCTTTCCCAATGGCATTTTCATGCAAATGAATGTTACAAAACCAACTGGAATTCGAAATGGCTCTCCAATTTCGCATGCTAAATCATTTTTAGACGTTGCAATTTTGCAGTTGAACGCATCGTCAAGCATCAGATCTTATAACTACCAGTCCGATACTATAAACGCTGAGCTGACCCCACAAGTTTATGGCTTATTATGATTTGATATAAAATAATCTTTATTTCACTTCACAGAATCCAGCGAGCAAAACAAATAAAAGATTTGACATTCCGTTCCACGGAAGCGGGATAGAGGCTTAGGAAAAAAAAAATACTATTTAATGTAAAATTTATATTTAAATAATTTTAGGAATTAAAAGAATAATAATTAAAAAAAAACCCAGATCGATTCGAGGTGGAATGCAATGGATGATGTTAAAGAACCTAGAAAGCAACCCTTCAAGTGACTTGTTTACTGTGATGATCTCAGCGGCTGATAATAACAACAGATGGTTCGATCCACTTCCCTTGTGAAAGCCTAGATTATGAATGGAATGCGAAAAATGCACAAACCAATCAACAGTCTACTACCATTTGTTTTCACCATCTATCTCTTTTTCTTAGCTTATTTTCGATTGCTTTTCTTAGTTATTCCTTTCTTTTCCTTTTTTCTTTCTTTCGCATAGCATTCTTAAGCCTTTGCTGTACTGTTTCGTCTTTTAAATTTCTTTTTTCTTTCTTGCTTTCCTTTTTTTTCTTTCTCCTCATACTTTTTGACTGTTTATTTTTTGTCTCTTTTTTATTTCTCCTTTTTTCTTTCTTTCCCTTTACTTGTTCATCGCATCGTTTGTGTTCTTTTTTTCTTTCTTTCAAACACATTACCTAGATCATATTTTTTCTTTCTTTCAAACACATTACCTAGATCATATGCTTTCTTTCTTTCTTTCTTTCTTTCTTTTCTATCTATCTATCTATTTTTCTTTCTTTCTTTCTTTCTTTCTTTCTTTCTTTCTTTCTTTCTTTCCAAACGCATTACCTAGATCATATGATTTCTTTCTTTCTTTCTTTTCTATCTATCTATCTATCTATCTATCTATCTATCTATCTATCTATCTATCTATCTATCTATCTTTCTTTCTTTCTTTCTTTCTTTCCAAACGCATTACCGAGATCATATTCTTTCTTTCTTTCTTTCTTTCTTTCTTTCTTTCTTTCTTTCTTTCTTTCTTTCCAAACGCATTACCTAGATCATATTCTTTCTTTCTTTCTTTCTTTCTTTCTTTCTTTCTTTCTTTCTTTCTTTCTTTCTTTCTTTCTTTCTTTCTTTCCAAACGCATTACCTAGATCATATTCTTTCTTTCTTTCTTTCTTTCTTTCTTTCTTTCCAAACGCATTACCTAGATCATATTCTTTCTTTATTTTATTTACTTTTTTTCTTTTTCTTTTTTGTTTTCTAAAAAAACAATTTCTTGGTTTTTCTTTCTTTGTTTTTTTCTTTCACCTTTTTTTTTAGCTGATCTCATATTTTCTTATTATTCCTTTCTTTCGTTCCTTTTCTCACTCCCTGATTTATTTTTACGTTTTTATCATTTAATGACCGCCTCTAATTCGCTTCTCTGTGCTGCATTTTATTAATTACTTTTTATATTTTTGCTTTTGCATTATTATTTTTTGTATTCAGTTTTCTTTCGTCTTTTTCAGCAATTTGGTGGTTTAATTTTTCATCTTTATTTCTTCTGTAATCCCTTCTTTTTCTTTTTCTCTTTTTCTCGCTTTTATGTGTATTTGTTTTTCTTTTCTTCATTCGTTCTTTATTTCCGTTCTTCATTTGTTTTCACTCGATTCCTTCCAAATTATTTTTGATTGTGCACTCCTTTCTTTCTAACCGCTCCTCTCACGCTTCCCACTTTCTTTTCATCTTTCTTTTACTCTGTTGCCGTACTTTCTTTCTTTCTTTCTTTCTTTCTTTCTTTCTTTCATTCATTCATTTTAATATCGTTATTTTTTGTTTCTTTCACTTTAATATCGCACTTGCTTTTTTTTCTTTCTATCGGACTTTCTTTCACGTTACTATCGAATATTTTCTATCTTTTCTCTTTCTTTCTTTTTTCTTTCTTTCTTTCACTTTACTAACGGACTTTCTTTCTTTCTTTCTTTCTTTCTTTCTTTCTTTCTTTCTTTCTTTCTTTTAGCTATCACATCATTTTCCGAGAAAGAAAAACAGAGTACTTTCTCTGTTTTTCTTTCTTTCTATAACTTTATTTTTGTACTTTCTTTCACTTTCCTATCGTACCTTCTTTGTTCTTTCTTTCTTTAACGTTACTATCGTAATTCTTTCTTTCTTTTCTTTTCTTTCTTTTCTTTTTTTTTCTTTCTTTCTTTGTATATTTCTTTTACTTTACTTTGTATATTTCTTTTACTTTACTATCGTACGGGTACCTCGGCGCGGTTTAATGGGTAGCAAGCTTGTCTCGCTAAAACAGCTACAACTGAATAGTGAGTTCGATCCTCACTGGGTGCCCCATACTTTCGGCCTTGTGCCGCATCTAAGCTACGCCGGGAAAATCAATAAGGGCAGCTCGACGTGGTGTAATGATTAGAAAGCTTGTCTTGCTAGATCAATTACGACTGAGTTGTGAGTTCGTTTCTCACTGGGTGCCTCATACTTTCGGCATTGTGCCACATCTAAGCCACGGTTAGAAAATCATTGGGTACCTCGACATGATGTAATGGTTAGATAGCTTGTCTTGCTAGATCAATTACGACTGAGTAGTGAGTTCGATCCTCACTGGGTACCCCCATACTTTCGGCCTTGTGCCACATCTAAGCCGGGCTTAGAAAATCACTACTTTACTATTGTTCCTTCGTTCTTTTATTTATTTCACTTTACTATCGAAACTTCTTTATTCTTTCTTTCTTTAACGTTACTATCGTAATTCTTTCTTTTCTTTTCTTTCTTTCATTTTTTCTTTCTTCTTTCTTACTTTCTCTCTTTCTATATTTCTTTTACTTTAATATCGTATTTTCTTTGTTTTTCTTTAACTTAACTATTGCAATTGTTACTTTGTTTCATTTCACTATCGGACCTTCTTTGTTTTAGTTATTTATTTATTTCACTTTGCTATTGTTCTACTTTGTTCTTTCTTTCTTTTGCTTTACTGTCGTAATACTTTCTTTCTTTCTATTACTTTACTGTCGTAATACTTTCTTTCTTTCTTTCTTTTACTTTACTGTCGTAATACTTTCTTTCTTTCTTTCTTTCTTTTACTTTACTGTCGTAATACTTTCTTTCTTTCTTTTACTTTACTGTCGTAATACTTTCTTTCTTTCTTTCTTTCTTTTACTTTACTGTCGTAATACTTTCTTTCTTTCTTTCACTTTACTGTCGTAATACTTTCTTTCTTTCTTTCTTTCTTTCTTTTACTTTACTATAATATTTTTTCTTTCTTTCTTTCTTTCTTTCTTTCTTTCTTTCTTTCTTTCACATTACTAGTAGACTTTCTTTTTTTCTTTCTTTCACTTTATTATCGTGCATTCTTTCTTTTTGCCCTGTCAGCTGGGGTTTCAGAATACGCCGACAACACCTCTGTAGAGGGGTAAGATCCTCCCACCGCCAATGAGGCGTCCTGGGTATGACGATAAACTACATCCAGCAGCAAGGCCTCTGATCAGGAGGTTTGAGGTGTGTGGAACCACCTCTTAATTGCTGGCATTCCTAGGTTCAACCTGATCCAGGATAGTAGCACCTGTTAGGGTCCCAGCTATGGGAAAATAGTTAACCCCTAAAATAGGGACAAAACACTATGAACGTGTAAAAATAGGTTTTAATACCAGCAATACATTTTTGGAAGAAAAGAAAATATTACCATCAATATATTTCTGGAAAAAAATGTTACCAGCAATAAAAATATTGTCGTCATTAAATAACCCATTGAGGTTGATATACCGTAAAACAAAAACAAACCAAACCAAAACATTCTTTCTTTCCTTCACAACATTACTATCGGGTCTTCTTTGTATTTTCTTTCTTTCTTCATTTACTTTTCTTTCTTTCTTTCTTTCTTTCTTTCTTTCTTTCTTTCTTTCTTTTTTTCTTTCTTTCTTTCTCAAACAAACCCAGAATCTTGAATTTATTGTCTCTATCTTTTCTTATTTATTATTTCTATTACTTTTTTTCTCTTTCATTTTTTCTTTTTCTTTTGGTGATACACATACCATGGAGATGACTTGCATTTTATGTGAAACTTTTAAAGTCATTGGTCGTTCAACTGTTTAAATTCTTTTTTCTATCTCTTCCTTTATGCCTTTGTTCCAATTTCCTTACGTTATTTCAGAAGGATTCGCCATTTTATTTCTTGAGAAAAAAGAAAGAAGAGAATGATAGATTATGCAATGGCAACTAATTCTCCTTATTGCCGAAAGGTGTCGCTTCATTAACAAACTCAGTCGACCATGATTTGACTGTCTCTTGGTTCAGTGATTGTTAAGTTTTGCTTGGAAAGCAATCTTTACGGTTCATTTCGGGTCTCCGAGAAAATGAACATGAGTGATACCCACTCGTTCATTCTTTCTTTCTTTTTTTCTTTGTTTCTTTCTTAATTCCTTTTTTCCCCGAATTTTATCTGCTTTTAAAGATAAATTCATTTTATTTTTTTTATTAATCATTTATCCGTTTTTTCATTTTTTATTTTTTTTCTTCGTTTTTTTCTCTACTTTTCTTCTTTGCGTTATTTTGTTTTGATTTGTAACATTTTTACTTCCATCCTGTTAAACTTTCTCGATGCCTCGAACTGTGGATTTTTTATTTATTTATTTATTTATTTTATCTTGGTCTTCTTCTTAATTTTCTCTTTCATGTTTCTCTTTTCCATCCTGTTCATTTTCCCCTTCCCGATATCTTTCTTTTGTAATATGTAATACTTCTTTTATGTGGCAAAACGTCATTTTTAATCTTTTCGATAAACCCTTATTCCTAGATTCTGTATCGAACTTATCAGCAAAACACTCACGGAATGTATTTGATAGAGTTGAGATTTTACGATCAAGATTTTAAAACGGAAAATAAAAGCAATTAACTGATATACGAGTAACTGTTTCGTTTGATTGAAATACTTGCATTAAAGAAGAGCCTATGAGCAACTCTTAACACAAAATAGAAAAAAGATTTTCATTACTTACAAGAAACTTATCTATTACAACAATACTTTAACATAACTGAGTTGAAGAAATAAATTAATATAGATTTCAAGCGTTACTTTTAGTTGCTACCTGTATTTGGTTAAACGCCCCGTTTTTTTAACAGTATGTATTACGCCTACCGGCTTGTGCACCCGAGAAAACTGTGCAGGTCGGTAGACAATGCACGATTTTTAAAAAATGGCCCGTCTTCTCAAATACGAGTATTCACTAAAAATAGCCTTTGAGATGTCGGATTAAAAATAAATCCATTAATTCTTTATATATATATATATATATATATATATATATATATATATATATATATATATATAATTATTTATTTAAAATATGATTCCAACGCTACATAAGAGTTCTCATGTTTCAAAACAAGAGCTGAAAGCTTCAATATAATTATTTGAATTAAATTGAATTAAAGTATCAAGCTGTAGCGATGGAATCATATTTTTAAATAAATAATTATATTTAAGTTCTACTTTTGTATCGAGCACTGTTTTTAAAAATAATAACAAAAATACTAAAGAGCTTTGGATTATTTACCTAACGAGTTCTTTCCTATTTTCTATATATTTTACACACACACACACACACACACACACACACACACACACACATATATATATATATATATATATATATATATATAAAGAAATATAGTTTTTAGGTGTGTTATATTATTGGGATAAAGTGCTCAATATCAGAGACAGAGCGTATATAAATATAGCGTATGTAAATATAAACAATGAATATATATATATATATATATATTCTATCATTTTATTTTTAGTGGAAACTCGTATTTGAGTAGACTCTCCGTTTACTTATTAAACAGTATATTTATTTATTTTGTCTACCGGCCTGAATGTTTGAGAAATCTTATTAAAGAAAAAGTTGCGGTCTTCGGCATGATTAGAACCTGCATCCTCCATAGGCAGAGGAATCTAATGTTAGACTCGTCACGCTTTAACCAACTAGAGAGCCAGTCAATCAGACAAGGCCGAAACTTCTTTCGTCATACATCTCCCGAAATTTTTCATATATGCTCAGTTTCGTATCCAAACGTAAACAAAGCAAATTTGTGTCTTAGTGGCTTTACTGCCTTGCTTGGAGTGGACTCTATTAAGAAACGTAAACTGCAGAATATTAAGAAGATTGTCCAAAGAGATGAAAGCCAGCTATCTACCATGTTTAAGGAAACATGACAAAAATAAACATTTAAATTCGGTGAAGAAGTGGATGAAAACTGATTTCTCAGCAGCAATTTTTAGTAATATATGTAGAGTTACATTGGATGAACCCGATGACTGGTATAGAGTT